GCTAAGTGACTGGTTATTATTACTTGATACTGTAACTGCAGAGTTAGCCTTTATTATAACGGTAGGAGTAGCACTGTCTCTTATACTGGTATCCCATTCATTATTTAAACACAAACTAGAAAACATGTCACTGATTAAGAATCCCATCAAACTGATAGTTAGAGTATTGTGTTATGCCAGGAAGCACAAGTATCCTGAGAATCGTAGTGCTCTGACCTACTGGGAGGAAGAGGCTCCTTCAAGACTAGACCTGGGTAAGGATAAATATGGTGGACCATTCACAGAGGAAGAGGTAGAAGATGTGAAGACATTCCTTCGTATTTTACCATTATTCATTGCTACAATTGGATTTACTTCTGCACTATTTTTATGGCAACCTTTAGGCAAAGTAGTGAGTAAGTCCTCAGTACATTACATCATATTTAAATATGATGGTGCATATCACATCACTGTTCTACTCCTATTCTTCATTTATCAGTTCATCATTCGTAGTTGTTGCCACAAGTAGATCTATATACCCAGTATGCTGACTAGAATGGGCACTGGTCTTGTTTTTGCTTTATTAAGTTGCATTACTCAATTATTAGTTCATATATTTGCCTCATATGATTTTCTACTAATAATTCAACAAATACTATTCGGGATTACATGTTTTCTTATTTTTCCTACTTCACTTGAGTTTACAGTAGCACAGTCTCCAGAATACATGAGAGGAATGATGGTTGGACTGTGTTATTCATCACTGGGAATTGGAAGCATAATTGCTTTCATGTTGTTATTCTTGATTAAAAAATGGTATTACATAATTACAATAAGTTGTGTCTTCCAGTTACTTGTACTTATAGTGTTTGTGATACTGGCTAAACGTTACAAGTATCGTGTGAGAGAGAATGAAGTTAATATTGTTCAGATAGTTGATGATCATTATCAGAGATACATGGACCATGAAGATGAATATAAGAAGCACAAAGTGACTCTTGAGAATGAAACAAATTATGTAACTAATGATTAGATAAAAAGCACAGAATTGACAAGGATTTGTTTCATAGTAGTTTAATTAACTCTTTTAATCATACAATTATTATGTGTACTATCTGTAATTATCATTTGATTATTTTATTGATGTAGAAATTATTAACTCAAACATAATAGCCAAACTAAAAGCAGTATGAAGTACAATTAAGCATACAATGACATTAGCCACAGTGAAAGTTACAACAAATTTGTAACTGTAAACCAGTGTCATTCAGTTCCATATCTTGCCGTTCAAAGGAGCATTTAGTAATTGTAAGTGTCATGAATATGTCTATTGTTTGGAGAGCAATCTATAAAAAGGCCAACGGTGCAGTGCAAATATTTAAGGGCTGCTAATTTCATGGATTTCAGTGGGGACCAAGCTGATACTTATTTTCAGGAATCAAGAGTATCATAATAGCAACAATGCAAAATTTATAATACTAATACAAATAATAATGATAATAATAAATAATAGCTGATGATAACTAGATACATGATGAAAAAAGATGCTAAACTAAACGAATGAAATAATACAAAAATAGATAAATATAATGATGAAATAATACTAAACTATACTAAACTGTAATGATGAAATAATACTAAACTAGATTTGAGGGAACAATAAAACACTATGGCCTGAACATAATTTAATAAACAACAAGTCGATTATTACTAAAATCACAAATATACAAGAATCCATCTTTATCAAATGCTAATCCTTTAGGGTTTTTAAACTAATTGATATTACTGCCTTTTCTTCCAAACCTAGTAACAAACTCACCTTCACTAGTGAAGACAGAGATGCGATGATTGCCCCATTCACTAACATACACTAGACCAGTACCTGCAGTGTCTATTGCTATACCATATGGACTATTAAGCCTTCCAGCATGAAATGTTTTTGTACCAAACTGAGCCAAAAATTTTCCATCTGGAGAAAACTTCTGAATGCGATGATTATTACTATCAGCTACATACACTAACCCTTGACCATCAAGAGCAATGCCTAGTGGATTTATAAATTGTCCATTAGCTGATCCTTTACTACCAAATGAATGAGAAAAGGTTAGATTAGAATTTAAGACTTGTATACGATGATTACAATCAGCAATATAAACCTGTTCTGTTATAGGAGAAATGGCTATACCAGCAGGATAATGAAACTGTAGTGGTTCAGCTCCCCTGCCACCAACTGATGCTATATGGCATCCATCCATGTCTATCTTTTGAATTTCTTCTTTATCGGACAAAAGAATGAATTTGTCTGCAGTGATGGCTAAACCACGAGGCTTAGTATTGCCACTTCCTTCCAATGATTTCACTTTCTTTCCTTCTCTATCCAGCATTGTTACACATTTACCATCAAACTCAGTTACTATGACATGACTATCACTTGCAACAACTCCCCAAGGATGATTAATTTCTGGTATAGTGTGTACTGGAGTAATGTTATCAAGGTAAGGATTGAAAGGGATGACTAGTGAGGTATTCTTAAGTTGTACATCATATACTTGTACTTTTAGTATATGAGTACCACTGGTTGAAGGGTTACACTGTATCCTATACACTCCAGGATCAGTGCCGGTAGTAACTGTAGTGTGAATGGGTTGATCACCTTTACCAACTAGTACTAGACTACACTTGAGAGAAGAGAGGGGAACAGACAAAAGAGATGAATCTGATTCTGATGCCTCTATTGATAGTGAAAATGAAAATGTTTCCAGTTTCGGAAAGCGTTGAAAGGAGCCAACTTTCTTCACTCTGCACTGCTGTAGTGAAGTAGATGAGTAGGTCACAATATCTCCAATGTGGTGGAGTGATTTGATATCTTTGCTCAATACAAAGTCAGCTTTTTCCTTTGGATGTAACTCCTCCACATTGATCCCTGCAGTAACTTCACTCATATGCTCTATCATCTGTTTCTTAGAGCCCAGTACTTGTTGAGGACTGCCTGTCTTCAGCTTCTGTTGTACATCATCCTCAACTTCCTCCAGAAGACTCAAACACTTTTCTGCTGCTTTGATCTGCTCTGACAGCACCTTTATTTTAGCATCAGTGACCCTCTTTGCCTGCTCAGTCAGTTTCTTCTCTGACTGACGAAGAACATTCATAATTTCCTCTACCATTTTATATATTTCTTCTAAGACTCCTTGTCCTCTCTCTTTGATGTCACCCTCTCTCTTTGTTATAGAAGATATAACTTTCTTGAGTGCTTCCTTCCTTTCCTCAACTGGTGATAGACATTCTTCTAACTCTTGACAGTGTTTAGCATAACTGTCATTGATCAACTCACATTCATGATGCTTGTGATTACGAACTGAGCAGTGAGAACAGATTACTGCATCACATGTTGCACAGAAGAGCTCCAATGCCTTTCATGGTCAGTACATATGGGGGTGTCCTCTTGAGAATTCGGGGTTTTTTTGATTAAACTGTGCATATCTTTAAAGTTGTTGAGAGTGAATGCTGCAGGAAAGGCTCCTGCTCCTACTTCCGGTAACTCTGTACGGCGACGACAAGTGGGACAAGAGAGGTAATAGGTCTCATTATTCTTATCCAGAGGTAATCCCTCCAGACAGTGCTGACAGAATGAGTGATGGCAGGGTAGGATCTTTGGGTTGGTATAGCAGTCAAGACACACAGGACAGGTGAGCTGTGTCTCAGCAAATTTAAGGACACCAGACGGAGATGGTTTGGCTGCCATTTCAAGAAAGTGTAGATCTATGCAAATAAAAGATGAAGAGAGAGAGTTAAATGTAAAAGATGATAAATGACTCAATATCAAACAAAGAAAAGGAAGGAAGAGCTACCAAGCTGTGAGTGATCTATAGGCTAGCTAGAAAGAGAGAACTGCAACACTTACTATAATGTAATTAAAGGAAGTTATGATAGCTAATATTTTATGAGTAGCAACTAGAGTAAGGGTACACATAATCCCACACATACACAACCACATAATATACTCAATAGTCTAACTAGTAAAACACAATCTTTAAAAAAAGATGATACAGTGTAACCTTATGGTAACACCTACACCTATATAATGTCCCAATTGGTAAAAAATTACCTTTGAGATATAAAGAAAACCTCAGGACACCAGTATTAAGGACAGGTAGTGTACAGGGAGACTGTACACTGTACATGCATTAAGAGGCTAATACAGTACACTGCAAGATCAGACTACATTAAACACCTGTGCAGGAATCCATGTACATGCACTACACAAACAGGAATCAAATTTCACTACACTATTACTTTACTTACACCCAACACTATAATTTGTGAGTGTTAGAATTTTCTTGAGCAACTCCCTCACATGATAAACCCTACACTGCAGGTATAATTGTCCATTGACATAACTTTAAACTTAATTGAAGGCATGCACATTGCAACATTTACCATAATACTCTTCCAGTCATTTAATTCCCATACTAGCATTGATAGCAATACTCATGCTGCAAAGGCCATTTCATACCTGCAGTGTAGGGTTGACATGTTGGTGTTTCAATGGTGATACAACCCTACAGGGGCTTGTTTGAATTCATTCTATAGTTTTAAATCAGCAACCCTACAGGGGCTTGTTTGAATTCATTTTATAAGTTCAAATCCAACAGCTCAACCTACACTAAATAATTAAAAAAATTTTTTTGTTCTAGTTATTACATTGACCTGCACTATGTTTCATGCATGTTTAATTTTTTTGTCTTTCTATATTCCTTGATGTATCTATATTCCTTGATGTAAGTGTTAAAAGTATCATTGAATCATCAAACAGCAAGTCTCAACTGAGAGCATGTAATACTGCATGTGTAGCAATAAAAGTATGTATTACTGTGCCATTGTATAGTAGAAAGTTGAGATTGCACACACTGAAATTTACTTGGACTATTACTTAATTTGGCTTTAATTTCAAGTTTTGACTCAACGACATGTAGATCTACTTCTGTCACTCTCATTCACTTTCTATTCTAATTTTAATGATATTTACTGCATGACATAATAACTGATCACTAAAAATATCAAAATCAACTACGTAACGAACTAAAGCCTATTGCTAGAACAGTTTAATAATTATGAAGTCTAATTAGCTTGTTCTTGATAATAAATCCACTTGTTGTTTATTATTCTATTAAAGAAAGGAGATATTAGATGGCAATGATTTTATTAAAACTTACAGTGCCCAATTCAATTAACGCAGCGAACACTAACATCTTCACTGTGTCGACAGTTGTGTTCACCAATAGGAGTACTGGGGCAATGAGTGATCTGTGCCTCTCCACCAGTACACTGCACATTATCCATCAATATTGGAAGAGTACCACGTCCATAGCGAGCACGAGGATAGACACAACTAGCTCTCCTGTATCCCAGTTGACGGCAGACAACATGTGCATCATTTATATCAAATAAATCATCACAGACAGTTCCCCAACGACCTTCAGCATACACTTCCAAGCGACCATAGGCAACCCTACTGTTAACTCTACCACGAACAAGACGAACATTTTCTATAAACATAAAGGGCTAACAATGATATTATTTTAATTGATAGACTTACTCTGGCATCTTACACTAGCATCTTTATGATGGCCACAGTTATGAGTACCAATAGTCCTCATAGGACATGCAAAAGGACTGTACTCATTACCAGCACAACGTAGGTCATCCATTACTATTGGACCTGTTCCCCGCCCAAATCGAGCTCTACCGTATGTTGCAGCAACATCAGGGAAACCCATGTACTTGCAAATGACACGACTATCATTTCTATCAAATGAATCATCACAGACAGTTCCCCACTGTTCATTCCAGTACACTTCAACTCTTCCTTCATATGATCCTCTTCCTCCAACTAATCGAAGTGCTCTTTCTAAAAATGATAACACTTACATTTAGCATTTTTATACTAATTACCTGGACAGTATCGAATATTGATATGTTGTATATCATACATTGATACCCTGTTTCTCTGGCCAATGGTGACGCTTGCATCAGGTATTGGTACAATTGTAGGTCGACCATTTCTACTGAAGGCATATCTACCATAATGCATCAATGAAAGATAATCATATGGTAGAGATTGACTGTCAGAAGTAGTTTGTCTGCGAAAATTCCCTTCGCGTCCACTTCCTATATTAGTAATAGTTTATTGGATGATATTTAAACCAGTGCATGTACTTATATTTCCAGTTAGTATTCTGACATATCTGTCTCTGTCAGCTCGTGATTGTTCATGGAACCGTCCAAGTGCATGCATTATCTCATGAGCAGGGACTGCAAGATTGCAACCACTAGCTAGTGAGACTAGCTGAGGCCTAGCATATCTTCCTGGAGGTTGTTTACCAAGATAAGACCAACAACTGGAATCATAATTGAAAAGTTTGACACTAGTTTAAACAGAGCTTACCCTCCTTGACTGACAAATCGGATGTAATCACGATTATAGCTTCGCTTTGTAGTAAATCTTAAACAAGTGTGTTCATGAAACATTCGAATTGAAGCATGTAAAGCATTTACTTCCCTTGTAGCTACATATAATCAAGTTTCATAATGTGCATTTTTATACAAATGTTACCAACCAACTCGATTAATTGTGTATGGGATATTCCTTGACCATTTGCCATGGTTAAAAAGCCATGCTTCTGAATTGACTAATTCATCCCACCCACCACGCTTGAATATTGCAGCCTGCTCTGGAGTTATTTTGATGTCTCCCTCTATAACATCTTTGCCACTGCCATACTCCCCACCTAAAATAATGGCATATTAGGTTGCTTATAGAGATAATGAACATACTTAAATTATATGACACCTGTGTAACTTCCTTTGTCACTGCAAAATATTATTATATATGCACTACATTTACAGACTGTTTTGACTCACATTCTGCTATCTCAGCTTTAAAGTTATCCTTTTCACCATCTTCATCTTTGTTACTGTCTGCTTTGTTGTCTGTGTTCTTGTCATGATTATCATCTTCTAGATCTAATTCATCCTTCTTGTCCTCATCCAGGTCATCCTTTTTTTCTTCAGTATATTCTTCACCAAGGTCTAAATTACTTTCTTCTTTGTCTTCTGGCTTCCCAAGGTCTAAATTACTTTCTTCCTTGTCTTCTGGCTTGACTGCTAATGAATGATCTACGATATAAAAAGACTAATTCATTTTTATAGGACCTCTTCATAACTTACCATCATTTTTATCTGGCCCAGGACCACTCCAGTTGCGTTTAGAAGCTTAAAACATAAAGAACATGAATATATCTAAGTTGCAATGCATTAAAACTTTACTTGGACTGCAGTTAACAGTTGCAAGCAAAAGGACAAGCAGAGCTAGCCGAGTCATGATTCAGTGCACAGTGCAAGTAGTGATGAAGCATAGACTAGGTCTACTGCTTTTTATAGTAACTGGTGCAATGACATCCTGCCTAGAGTAGTTAGAATAGTTAATTTGCAGTTACCCTTATAAGGCTATAGTTTCCATGACTACAACAGCCTTACAACATTGTTGCAACAATCCTGGAGTTAGAGCCCAGGTCTAGACTCTATCTCTACAACAGTTGTATGCTAACCACAGAATCCATACAACAGCCACAACTATATGGAAACCAGGCCATAGTTAGCTACAACTACTTGTGGCATGACTAATGCCTTAGTCATTGTTTATATCACTAGTTTTTAAAGAATTATTTCCTTGTAATCTAGATCTACTGGAATTCATTATTCAAAAAGCAGATCTAATTACAAGTATTAGCATCCTTCTTTGAGTATAGTGTCTACCCAACAATCATAGTTTTTGTTATTGACGTAATGACTGCAAATATGCTAATTCACCATTAATGTTACCTTTGTATAATCTTTAAGCTGAAATAAAAAAAGAAAATTAATGCTTTCTGAAACGTTGGAGCTAATCTTTTATTGGTAATCTGTTCTTGGGATTGATCAGAAAATGGCCCTTGTTTTAAAGTAAAAGGCTGACCTAACATTTTGTTACTAGGGCTCCATCCTTTGCTGCACCCTGATATGTACAAACATGCAAACAAACAGGACTACTTTATCAGTAAGGCTTCACCCACTTACATTGTCCCCCCCTCTATCTTCCCTCTCCAAATAAGCTATTTTTGCATTAGCTACAGAAGCCAGAGGAGTGGATCTTTGATGTGTTTATGCCTATTAGCTCAACAAATGCATCTCTGCAATACATGTTATTATATTGTTAATGTATGCAGTACTTGAATGTGGTGCTATAGTATAGTACATAAAAGGCTTTGTAACCATAATATGCTGGTTGTGGTAATGGCCACTAATTATTGCTAATTGTCGTATCTCTATTATTATACTCAATATTCACCATTAGCAATTTAGCATAGTACTTTCAATGGGCTCCTCCAGTCTACAGCTGTAGTATGTAGCATTATTATCAATCTATTTGATTGTTAATAAACAGATTTTTTTGTTTCACATAGGCTTGGTATTGAATATATACATAGTATATATTTGAGATTTTGGTGTACATGCACCTTAATAAAGTATTTTTTATCATGATTCTTATTATTGTAATGCACCAAGCAATTGTAATTGTATACATTTAGTTGTAACTGTAAGATGAGAGTCTTCATGCTAGTGATTCTTTCAAGGTAATAGTATTACAGAAACCAGTCATTGTCTGGACTCGCTGGTTCCAGTGACAATATATTGTATGTACTTCAGTAATTGCAGTCATTAAAGTGTTACCACTCCTTAGCATTCCAAGAGTCGGTGGTAATGGACACTAATTATTCATAATTCCATTTTTACTAATTGTTTATTTTATTTTCAGTGGTTTCCTTCACCAGTAGTTATTGAGATAAAAGCAATATTATTTATTTAGCAACAAAGAATTAAAATTTGTTTGCATAGAGTGATGGTTGCAATACACAGAAACCAGTATGCATATATATGCCCACTAATTGATTATGTTTACTAAAAAAATCACTAAAAATATTAATATCTCTCCTAATGTTGCTTGTATTTGAAAGCAATAGTGAACAAACACTATAAGAACATGATTTAGTTAAAAAACCACACCATAAACTAGAAATTGTTAATTCTTCACAAGTGCATGATACTCAATAGTCTAACTAGTAAAATACAATCTTTAAAAAAGGTGATACAGTGTAACCTTACGGTAACACATACACCTATATAATGTCCCAATTAGTAAAAAATCACCTTTGAGATATAAAGGAAACCTCAGGACACCAGTATTAAGGACAGGCAGTGTGCAGGGAGACTGTACACTGTACATGCATTAAGAGGCTAATACAGTACACTGCAAGATCAGACTACATTAAACACCTGTGCAGGAATCCATGTACATGTATACTGCACAAACATGAATCAAATTTCACTACACTATTACTTTACTTCAAACTCCTCTCCAGTGGGAGGGTGCTTAACATGCAACGGACACTCGGAACCAGACAAAGGCTTAGCCCTGGGACCCACTGGACACTGAGGCAGGTCTGATTTAGCAATGGGGGTTACACGCTGGAAATCATCGTGACAAGGATTGCAGAAATGTGTCGTACCAAAACAGAAATAGACAGCAACAGAGCAACAATAACGACACTTGTAATCCAGGAAATCAGTACCATGCTTTGGACAGACCTATAGGATGTATCAGTATAACCCAGTAAACTTAATAATAAACTCAGTAAAACTTTGTGTAACTTAGTATAAGTCAGTATATTACCTGTAGTTGTCCTCCAGTATTAGAGCAGGATGGACAGACAAGCTCAGTGGGATCATAATCATCAGAACCAACTGCTTCAGCACAATGAGCCTCACCACCATAATAGGCCTAGAAAGAGAGAGAGAGAGAGAGAGAGAGAGGAGTAGGGCAGAAATTAGAATGCATGTATGTGTAGTGTACATATACTATTGTGAAGGAGGTGTAGCTGCTGGTTTTGGGTTTTTAAGTTCCTCCTCCCACTCTCCTTTGATTTTTAGAGTCTCTTTATGGACCGAGTCCATTATATGCTGGCAGACTGCTTTTTGTAGAGTTGATAGTTTGCTTTTGTTGAATAATATGTTGGCCATTGATGAGGTTTCCTCGTCTCCTCCCATACCTCCTCCTCCTCCTTCTGACTGGTCTCCAGTGTCAGTCTCTTCTCTTTGTTCTGTGGTTTTATGTCGAGTGTCTAATAGACCACCAAACACCTAATGGAGGGAGGGAGAGAGGAAGGGAAGGAGGAAGGAAGAGAACAAGGGAGTGCATGAGAGAGAGAAGGAGAAAAGGATGCAAAAGTTATCCAGTTATACATGTACATTTATAAATGTATACATAGGTACATGCATTATCTATGCATTAAATTTCAATCCTAGAGGTTTACATCATGTAAATTGTACATGATGTTTTGTTCAAGCAACAATGGGCACTCTTTGTAATTCTCCTTGAGAACCAGGCAACAGTCGAACATCAGAACAAGAATGGCTACACCCCTTTAATGGAGGCTGCTTCATGTGGTCATGTTGGTGATCGCCTACTTAATTAATTAATCTCACTAACACACATGTATGTATTTATTAATTGGTAGGTGTGGCTAAGCTGTTATTAGCTAGAGTATGGTGCCAATATCAATATCAATCTTTTTTTGGTTCTTTTCCAAAAAGCTACCAGCTAAATGAACCAAAATGAAAATATAGACCCAACAAAATAGACTACATCACCCAAAATTTAATCATGTCATTAGTTTTTTTCAGTCACTTTTTCATCCTTCCCCTCTCCAAATTTTTTACACAAAATTAACTGAAGAATTACTAGGTTGCCATTTTAAAATAGTCCTTGTAAATGGTCAGAGTGTGTTCACACTACCTCCCCAGCTGTACAAAACTATACCTAATTAGATTAGTTTGGTTATAAAAGAACCATTATGGTAGCAGTTCACACTGCACAACCTAACTACACCAACTTCACTTTAAAACTTAACTACACCATTTCAGAGCACTGGCCTATTTTGGTGCACCACTTTTTTAGTCTAGTTTGGTTTGGTTACAGTGCAGTTCAGTTATGTTCACACTTGTTATAAAACTACACTATACTTCCCCAAAACTCAGTTCCAGTACAGTTCTGAAGGGTAGTGAGAACAGGGTATTTTACACTAAAATTTCCACTTAGAGGATCCGATACTTGTACAATTAAAATCTTACTTTCAAAATGCAAGTGTCAAAGTGTACATGTACATAAAAGGACTAATTCATTAGCTAAATATACATGAAGCTGTAGAATTGGATGGACTGTTGTCCAGTTGAGGTGTCAGTCTAATTATAGTGACTAGTTCGCTTTCTTGTGAGACAAGACTACTATAATCAAGTACCTCAATACAAGGATACAGTGTACTGTATACTGTAAACAACTTATATCTATAAAGGCTATCATGTACCATGAAACTTGTTTCATGAAACATCGTTTATACACAGGATCCTGTTATACAGTAGTCAATGGAACTTGAAACATGCTTCATGGCATGAAGCTGTAGAATTGAATGGACTATTATCCAGTTAAAGTGTCAGTCTAAGTATAGTGACAAGTTGGCTCTCTTGTGAGACACTGCATGAAGACTACTATAATCAAGTACTTCAATACAACACTGTATACTGTAAACCACTTATATCTAATGAACACTGGTGAGGTAACAGGTAATGTTCATTCAATGAAATGCATTTATCAACCTAATAATACTCATTTGAATGAATTAGTCAAATGGCACAATAAAAGAAAAATCATTGTTTTCTAACTTTCATTTAATAGTTAAAAACAATTAAACTGCCAGTACACATTAAATCAATATACTTTGATCACAAGTTCATTTAGAGTGGCAGGGTGTTACAAGAAGCTTCTTTGATTACCTTTCAAATTAATATTGTACTAATCAATGTTTGTTGTATGTTGTATTAATCAACGTATCAGACTTCATTTCAGTGTATTAATAGATGCATGGAATTAAAAGTAGTGAACAATCCTCACATTACATGTTACACCTCACCATGCAGTGTTCAGTAGATACATGTACATGTTGTTGTATACAGTACAGTACATC